AAAATATCGTGCAACATAAATTCCACCCCCTTCGATTACCTAATGGCCCATCCCTCGATAAAGTATAAGAGTAATTTCTCTGTTTCAGCTGTTTTACCCTCTTCATTTTATGCTACATTGTTATCTCCAAAAGTAGATATCGAAGATGAGCATTTTGTTTAAATCCTTAATCGACTTAAAATCCCCATATCTGTGGCCTTTTTATGCTCAATAAAATTAAAATAAATCTCTTTATTCAAGTGTCTAGTCGTTCTAACCCTTTCGCACTAATTGATGACACTTTGCACTCGCCAAAATTACCACTACATTCAATATTCTCTGCACACAGCGTTCAACTCACGTGTCGATTTTTTTGGAGGGATTAAAACCGGAGAATCGGAGAAGCCCCTCGTGGCAAGGAAGAGAACAACATCAAACAAATTCTATTCACATGTGGTGACCGCAGGAGTCAGTAGGTGCGCCTGGGACCATAGGAAGTGTTCGTGATAGCCGGAGAGAGATGTCTGGGGATATTACATGTATACTCTGTTTGTAAGAGGATAGGAGCAGCCAAGACTAAAACAAGGGTTCATAATAGGGAGGTGCCATATTAAACGTGTTTGTACTAAAGGCAGGGGCGGATCCAGGGGAGGGGTGCAGGGGGTGCGCATCCCTCCCTGGTTCAACTTTGTGCTCTACTTGGAAGATAACCAATACTGTTTTTCCTCAGTTGATTCTAAGGGGTGCACCCCTCCCTGGGCTAACTTTATGCGCAGCTCCCCTCCCTGAACAAAATCCTGGATCCGCCCCTGTAAGGGTCGACTTTATATAACTATACTTAACTAATCATCCCACTCATCCCAGTATGATCTATGCATTATTTATTATTCATATTAATTAGATATTATTTACTTGCAGTTGACAACAACATTGGCTTTACGTCATCCCACAGAATGCCTCGTCAGTTTGTACGCATTGCCATGATGGCCCTTCTCGTTAGTAACTGTCTCTCTCATCCTTTCCGAGATTTATCGGCGATCAAATCAAAGCTAGAGAAACGTTTATTGGCAGAGATTTTAAAAGGACCGGAAGATGCAAAACACGTAACAGAATCTAGAGGTGAGATAGGTAAAAAAGGGGCGGAGTTAGGTAAAGTAAAATGGATAAGGAAGCTTCAAATGTTATCGACACCCTGAAACAGCCCCTGTACCCATCTAAAGAAGAGCATTACAGATCGAATTGGATTTTAGCTCGTTAGGTTCTGCCTAAGTAGGAGAAACCGAAGGAAATCCTCAAATCAAGGGAGAGACTTAAGGCTAACAAACTATATAGACATAACAAGTCTTCATTATTCCAAAAACTTTCAAACATCTGTATACAAAAAGTTTTGAAGTGCTGCACAGACTCTTCGGATGTAAACTAACAATGTGGTTGGCACTTGGAGTAGAATTTTGCTCAACTATAAAAGCCCTGATTTCCAGATAAGGTGGTATCAGAAATAACACATCTTTCATATTCCAAAAATTCAAACACATCTGTAAACCGCAAAAAGCTTTGAAGTGCCTCACAGTCTGTTTAAATCTAATTCAAATATGTGGTTGGCACTGGGGTTTGAATTTCGCTCTACTCAAAGCCATGATTTCCAGATAAGGTGGTATTAGACAACACGTCTTTCATATTCCAAAAAATTCAAACACATCTGTAAACCGCAAAAAGCTTTGATATGCCTCACAGTCTGTTTAAATCTATTTCAAATATGTGGTTGGCACTTGGGGTTGAATTTCGCTCCACTCAAAGTCATGATTTCTAGATAAGGTGGTATTAGACATAACACATCTTCAATATGCCCAAAATTTGAAACATATCTGTAAACCGCAAAAAGTTTTGAAGTGCCTCTCAGTCTGTTTAAACTCTAATTCAAATATGTGGTTAGCGCTTGGGGTAGAATTGCGCTCAACTAAAAGCCATGATTTCCAGATAAGATGATGTTAGACATAACACATCTTCATTAATTCCAACAATTTCAAACATATCTGTATATAAAAAGCTTTAAAGTGCTGCACAGATTGTTTGAATCTAATCCAAATCTGTGTTTGGCACTTGGGGTTGTAAAGATTTCGCTTTACTCAAAACCGTGATTCCCAAGTAAGGTGATGATTAGACATAACACATCTTCAATATTCCAAAAAATTGAAACATATCTGTATACAAAAAGTTTTGAAGTGCCTCACGGATTGTTTGAATCTAATCCAAATATGTGGTTAGCACTTTGAGTACAACTCCCCTCTATTCAAACCAGATGAGGTGATTGTAGACTTAATGAATAAATGCATGAATGAATTGATGAATGAATGAATGAATGGATAGATATGTGAGTGAATGATTTTGATAATTGATTTATGTTAACAGATATGGTATATAAGCTTTGCAACATCACATGACGGCAGCCATGACAGGAGGCAGCAACAATTGAATCTAGTCTAATCTGATTTACGTGAGAAAGAATTCAGTTTCCCGAGAGAGAGAGAGAGAGAGAGACTCTATTGTTGTGCCTCATGTCATGGCTGCCATAAAGTGATTGTGTAAACCCTTTATTTTCCTCATTTGTTGTTAGAGGTGGGTCAAGAAGAGATCGATCTTGAAGGCGAATGTCATGACGTCGCTGACCAACATAAATGCATGTTCGTCATGCTGAATATTCATACGTGTGATGCTTATTACAAGAAAAACTGCGCACTTAGCTGTGGTGAATGTGAGTAAACCCACTATCCTTATTCTTGCCTGCCTGCTTGCTTGCTTGCCTGCCTGCCTGCCTGCCTGCCTGCCT